ACATAGAGAACAGTATTTGTTAAAATGATAGATGAACTTTCATGAATGGAGTTCCCTTCGAGATATTTTGTATCGTCCAGATGCAGCAGTTTAATTATGAGTTCGGACATTTTTATTGTAAGAGCTTTCGAAATATATGATATTACATCTTTATCACGACTAAATACTCTTCTAGTTAAATTTTTTCGGCCACCTCTCCTCAGATATAATGCTGACACAAGATACATATTCCGTGAAGGTTTGCAAGGTTTTTTGGACAATTGAAGAACAGAAGCTTGTAAGGAAGATCATGACTAGTTATACGTATTCTCGTATTTAATCTGCGTGAACGTGATCATCTCAGTCTTTTTTGTCGACTGGATGGATCTTCGTAGGCTGACGCAACCATGAATTGTACTCCGATTACACACAGTCACCTGAGATCAAACTATGCGAAATCTCTTTTGGCTTTGAGTAGTATCTACACGGACTGCATACGTAAACACGAATTTGTATTTCATGTTAATTGTAAATCAAGCTATATAGCTTGATTTACAAATATTTGTTTTCACTCTCATATAATGAGTAATATGTACAGATAACGTAGTCGCATCCCAAAATCTATTTTGAATTATATACTTCCTTCATACTAACAACCACCAGTGCTAAGTAGGACTGGTGGCCGTGTAAAGGAAAAATATGAAATGTTGGAGGCCATTCCAACAAGTGCTTACTGAATTTCGATTCGTTTGCTTATTGGAATCAACTTCAATATTGAGCCTGTATTAATCAGTGTCTACAAGTGAATGAGAAGGTTCGCGATCCAGGTATTTTTAGGGACGAGGAAGAAGGCGTGTCGAGCACCAATTCAATTGATTTATTGTTCTGAGCTTTCGCTCTCTTACAGGAGTCCATCTTTAGAGATGAGAAAGCAATCAAATGAGGGGTGATTATAGTGGCCATAGGCCAATTAACTGTCGAAAAGCATGAGGTTGTCAAGGGGTTCGATGGGGGAGGAGGGCAATTCGCTGTCAGTACACCACTAAAGTTGTCCTCCACGACCCTACTGACAGCTAACTGCCCTCCTCCCCCATCCTTTTTCGACTACTGTTCCTAACTTCTTGGCAACTTCATGCTTTTCGACAGTTAATTGGGCTATGGCCACTATATTTACCCCCTTTTTGGTTGCTTACTCATCTCCGAAGATGGACTCCTGTAAGAGATCGAAAACTCTGAACAATAAATCAATTGAATTGGTGCTCGACACGCCTTCTTCCTCGTCCATTGTCTGCGAGCATGCCTCTTCATGAATTTCGAATCCTAATCACTAAGATAAATCGGTGGTTGCTGAATATGTTCCTCCAAGTTCACTTATGGATTACCATAAGATGCAGAAAAAGCTGTGGTCCACATTGAAATAACTACCTTTTTGAAATGCGGTGCTGTTTTCAAACTTATTATTATAGAGATAGGGGTTGGCAAGTTTGAGTAATTCAACTGATACAACCGTGCATATTTCTCGGCCTCGGTTAGATTTTAAACCCACGGCAGCAAGGAAGGCGTTGGCACATAAAATGCTCTACCAATTGACCTGCAAAGGCAAGCCGAGAACCTTGAACTTAGTCACACTTGGGTCTATTTACCCACTCAGCATATTGCACGCACGGAATCAACCAGAACTGGCACATTTAGTTGACTGCTCAGGCATGATTTTCCAAGCAATCATCTAGTATCCACCAGAATGAATATATGGCATACTTACTTATCCCGGGGGAGGGTTAGTGTTGGCTGTACGAAAGCCTCCCCCGCTGATTTGGGTTCCGATCCCACCGAGGCCACAAAGTCTTCGCAATTGGGTCAATTGAATTTATTATTGACATGACTAAAGACGCGGGCTTCGCTTACGTTCGTTCTACCTGAATGATTCCCACATCACTTGTACACGTTCTTATGCGTACCCCCTTGTAAAAGTATTGTGTATTTGCGTAATAGATTTCCACTTTGACAAGATATTCAATTTGTTTAAATATAATGTTTCTTTAAACGCAATAATATCAGAATAAACTTTGCATCTTTCCCAAAGGAAATTATGGATAAAGTTCAAAAGTCCGTTCGCTTGCAGACATACACGCCGTGCATTCTTATTTAAATAGGAGTATGATTTTTTGTGCATTAAAGCTGCCTGAACTGCCGTAAGCTAGTTACAGTCGATGACTTTATAACCGCTTAAACGGCGATGCAGCAATAGTATGTTACACCTAGTTACAACGTTTTATATAGTATTGGTACATGGGTGGGACCATTATTCCTTCTATTCTGAAGAAGATTGGACTAGCATGCCGACTGTGTTACAATTATTGCTCATTGAAAATTATTTTGGGAAAAACATTGATTCTGAGGATCTTTTGCTACAAGCGGTCGGCACTTCATCGAACTACATTATGTTACTGACAAATCATTTCTTAGGTGATTCTAAAGTACCGTAAACATCACTTTTATTTCTGTTAGTTGAATGCAACATATTACTCAGGGAATTTGATTTTGCAAAATAAGAGGTTGTTTTGATTTGGGAGTGAGGCCTTTAAGTCAGTTAGTTTGGTAAAAATAGTGCCTTATATCTTTAAGTAACTAGTAAAAAGTTTAGCTGCAGATGCTTTTGCCGGTGGGTATTTGTTGAGCTTCTGTTTGACAGCCGCATTTATTGGGAGTACCTCTGTTGCATGGCATCAACTCAATTTTTCCTCTATAAACTAAGTCATATTTGGTTACTGCTTTCCTGCTAGTTGTTCGTTATGTAAGGAGGTAAATGAGCATATTTGTATTTATAAGTTGAACTCATTTTGAATCCATTAGAGAATCAGAGTAAGGCGT